CAGTTCTATATAACAAGAGTTCCAATATATAGAGTACCAGTTGATTGTAGCTGCAGCGTCAGCCAAGCAGAAATAGTATCGCCTGTAATAGGTGCCTAAACCAAGTGCAGATGGCTCCTTGGCTTCCAGACATTAAACTACGACAGCTACAGATAAATCTTTGAGAAATTCCAAAAATAGTAAACATAGCAAACAAATATAGATAACGGCAATACATTTCAGAAGTCAAGATAAGTGAAACACTAAAAAGTGAGATGCACCTCAAGAAAAAAATTAGACTCTCAAATTTCTCCTAAAACCCAAATTCCATTCAAAACCAAGGGATGAAGAATAAGAAATAACAAACTCAAAATTTGGTTAGTCTTAAGATCAGATATGCACAGAGAGAAGGAAACACATCTTTCATAGGGGACTCACCATGCCAGAAATACTTCCAGAATTTAATCTTATTCCCAAAAGAGATATCATACCCAATGTGATTAAGAAGCTGGGAAAAGTATTGGCCATCCAAGGAGAAGCAAGGATAGCTTTGCGTAGAACAGCATCCCAACCCTTCTCTCAGAAACCATAGCTCATGAATAATGGTTGGGATACTGGACTATCACATAGAGCTACTATGCCTCACTCCATGGAAATCCATCAACAATATCCTCCCATTCTACCTTAATCTAATCAGGCATGATCATTTCTTTGGCAACAAAATCAGATTTTGGGAAGACCCGTGTTGGGGAGTCTCCGTTAAAAGATATTTACCCCCTCACTAGTTACCTATCGTCTCTTAAAAGTAAACGCATTTCTGAGTTAGATATGTCCTCGTCTCCTCCGGGCTTTGGACAGAATTCTGGGTTTAGAAAAAACCTTRTGGATTCTTAAATTCCTCTTGTTTCAATGAGATCGGAACATCGTTTGTGGGTACCTAGTCTTACCGGTGAATTTTCTTGTACCTTTTTAAAATGCTTAATTTCGTCTAGCCCTTCCAGTTGTCCTGTCTTATGAAGGGAAATTTGTGTGTTCTAATCCCTGCGAAAATTAGGTCCTTCTACTGGGAAGTCTACCATGGGGTATTAATGGATTGTGATTATTACAAATTAAGCAAGAAACCCAACAAGTATATATCTCTTAATTGTTACATTATGTGCAAATCTAATGAGGAGACGGCTTGCAACTTACTGATCTCAAATCTGTTTGTCTATTGCATTTGGAAAAAGTTCCGGCCCCTCCTCCATGAGGGTGGTRCCTCCCTACTAGTTGATTATAGAAGAAGAACTCAAGCTATTCAGTTCAGTTCTATATAACAAAAGATCCAATATATAGAGTTCTATATAACAAAAGAACTCGTAGTTCAGTTCTATTGTAGCTGCAGCGTCAGCCAAGCAGAAATAATATCACCTTTAATAGGTGTCGAAACCAAGTGCAGATGGCCCCTTGGCTTCCCGACATTAAAATACGACAGCTACATATAAACCTTTGAGAACTTCCAAAAACAGTAAACATAGCAAACAAATATAGATAACACCAATACAGTTTCAGAAGTCAAGCTAAGYAAGTGAAACACTAAAAAGTGAGATGCACCTCTTACAGTTTCCAAAGCCAAGCGTTGATGTTAAAGATTAAAGAGTGCAACAAATTTCCTTTTTGAAAGATTGCAAGAAAGTCTGATTAGTCAAATAGAGGAAATTGACAAGGAAGAGCAAGAGCAGTTGGAAGAAGTTGTGAGGAAGGAAACAGTGGGGTTAAACTAAGAATTTTTTTATCAGCAACACAAATGAAAATTTTGCTCATTAAATTTAAAAAGGTACTACAAGAGGTTGTGACTACAAACAAGGAGATATACTGACGCCCTCAACTATCCCAGCCACCAATACGGTTTACATTACACCGAATTCAAAAAAAAGTAGTTGTGTATTAAATCCCTAGTTAGCCAGGCAATAAGCCAAGCCATTAACTGATATTTGAACCCATTTAGTTTCAATCTGCATATCCTTTGAGTACAATTTGAAGCACATCAATTCATTCCTAAAGCTCCAATTAACATCCACCTCCTTCAAGCATCTAACTATAGAGGAGTCAAACAATCTATCCAAGTTAACAGGAGGATCCCACCTACATTTTGGAAATATAGGCTAGCCAGATCTCCTTTTTTGCAACATGACGCTATTGTTGATACCACCAGGAAAGAATACCTTACAAAATGTACTAACTTTTGAGGAAATAGATGCACACTAGACTCCATTCACGAGAAAGGACCTACAGAGGGACTCTCCTAGAGAAACATATTAAAAACAGAACCACAAGAGAACTCACCCGTAGAGTTAAGAACCCAAAAGATTATAAACAAGAAAAGAATTAGACTCTCTCAAATTTCACCTAAAACCCAAATTCCAATCAAAACCAAGGGATGAAGAATAAGAAACAACAAACTCAAAATTTGGTTTAGTCTTGAGATCAGATATGCACAGAG